ACTGCAGGGATTAATATTCTTGGTTCTTTCGGTAAAGTCACCACCGCGTTAGAAGGGAAACAATGAAGTTATAAAAATATAAAACAATAAAATGATCACCACGTTTCGACTGCAACACCAAGCAGTCATCATCAGGTGTGAAAACCACAGCAAGAACAATTTGGTTTTCACACCTGATGATGATTGCTTTGTGTTGCAGTCGAAAGGTAGTGACAATTTTATCGTTTAATATTTTTATTATTTGATTGCTTCCCTTCTACGTGACTTTACCGAAAGAACCAAGAATAATTGGGAGATTCTTTGACCTTTTGAAGCTATTAACATTCCATTTGTGATCATGTTACGGTGTTATTGTTACCAGCTCTTTTTCCATTAAAAAACGATAGTCTCATATAAGTGTTAAAAACGTTTTATTTTAAGCACCCTGTATACAGCAGCAGTAGTAAGGATCAGGATCGAACCCACGACCTCCTGTATATGCGAGGCGTTTGCTATAGCCAGGTCGCTATCTGAAATATCACAGCTATTATAGCAGCTCAATAGTGGGCCTTACACGTGGTGGAATTAAAAAAAAATAGTTTAGAGTTCATCCGAATGAGGGGCAAACGCCGTACCGCACTTAAAATCGACTTCGTTCGTGCAAGTTCGTGCAAAGTTCACCTGCAGATTACGCGCGCCATCTCGCTCACAAAAACAGAGATCTCCCAAGTAGCTTTGGCAGACTGTACGGGCGAGTGCTGTTAGCGAGTAAGCACCACCTACGAAAGGCCGGCCACGGCACACGAGGGGGTGGGTGACCAGCACCACGCCCGGCCGCCTTTGTCTCCCTAGTGGCCATGTTTACTGCACTACACCAGGGACTCGTTTTTGAACCCGAGTCGACCTAGGGGAGGAGGCCCAGGACTGGTTCAGGTAATCGTCACCGGCGTTGGCCGTGAGCGGGAATCGAACTCGGGTCGCCGGCTTTGTAGCGGTAACCACGACACTATCACTCCCCACAGTGACCACCACTTTGGTGTTAAGCCAGCTAGGGTGACTTCTCAGTGGTCAGTAGAGTGACCACCATGGTGGTGTTTAGCCAGCTAGGGTGACCTCTCAGTGGTCAGTAGAGTGACCTCCACGGTGGTGTTTAGTCAGCTAGGGTGACCTCTCAGTGGTCAGTAGAGTGACCTCCACGGTGGTGTTTATCCAGCTAGGGTGACCTCTCAGTGGTCAGTAGAGTGACCACCACGGTGGTGTTTAACCAGCTAGGGTGACTTCTCAGTGGTCAGTAGAGTGACAACTACAGCCGTGTTTAGCCAGCTAGGGTGACTTCTCAGTGGTCAGTAGAGTGACCACCACGGTTGGTGTTTAGTCAGCTAGGGTGACTTCTCAGTGGTCAGTAGAGTGACCACCACGGTGGTGTTTAGTCAGCTAGGGTGACTTCTCAGTGGTCAGTAGAGTGACCACCACGGTTTGTGTTTAGCCAGCTAGGGTGACTTCTCAGTGGTCAGTAGAGTGACCACCACGGCCGTGTTTAGTCAGCTAGGGTGACTACTCAGTGGTCAGTAGAGTGACCACCACGGTGGTGTTTAGCCAGCTAGGGTGACTTCTCAGTGGTCAGTAGAGTGACCGCCATGGTGGTGTTTAGCCAGCTAGGGTGACTACTCAGTGGTCAGTAGAGTGACCACCATGGTGGTGTTTAGTCAGCTAGGGTGACCTCTCAGTGGTCAGTAGAGTGACCACCACGGTGGTGTTTAGCCAGCTAGGGTGACCTCTCAGTGGTCAGTAGAGTGACCTCCACGGTGGTGTTTAGTCAGCTAGGGTGACTTCTCAGTGGTCAGTAGAGTGACCTCCACGGTGGTCTTTAGCCAGCTAGGGTGACTTCTCATCTCAGTCAGTCGACACACTAACACACACACTAACACACACACTAACACACACTCCACACCTGTGCCTGCCCCAGAAAGAGTGGCGCCTGGAAGACGCTCCAGATCACCGACTCGTCGCAAGTGGGCGTCGTGAGGGAGCCGCTGTATCGGTAGAAGGGCCCGGCAATCGACGATTCGAGCGCTCCGGGGACAAACGACTGCAGGCTCGGGGCCATCACGCTGCTGTTCGTGCCTAGGTCGGGGGGGGGGGGGTGGAGCAATCAGATCGGGGCAAAATTCGTGTGAATGAATAATAGCGAGTGATCAATAATCATTTTTCGTGATGATTAATAATACGCGTGTTGTTGATCAATAATGATGAATGACTATTAATAATTACTGAATAATGATTTATATTGTTGATGAATAATACGTATTGTGAGTACATATTAATAAACAATTACTATGAATACTTAATAAATAATCAATATTAACTGAAATTGTTGATAACTAATAATTATTAATAAATACACACACAGTACACACACACAGTACGCACACACAGTACACACGCACACAGTACACACACACAGTACACACACACACAGTACACACTACACACACACAGTACACACACACAGTACACACACACAGGTAGACACACACAACAACAACAACAACCGCCATTCGCCACTAAGTGGCGGTGACGTCACCACGACGCTTGTGCCAGGCCATGTGCACCCTGAGGCCACGTGAAGTGTCGAACGCCCGCTGGCAGGAGGTCACGGGGCAGACCCAGGTGCCACGGGTCGACTGACTGAGATGACTGGCCGATGCACCACCTGTGCCCCCTACTATGCCAACTGGCTGCATTTTATCTGCCTGCGCTCCGCTCGTTGTTGTGAGCTTCGCTCCTCAGCCCTCCGCTGTTGTTGTTGGAGGGGGACTGTCCCCCAACTGCCCAGTAGCCGCAGGGTGCACCTAGCCTGGCACTGCCCAGTAGCCTCAGGCTGCACCTAGCCTGGCACTTCCCAGTAACAGCGTCCTTCACGAACCTCCTCCTCCACAGAGGCCGACTCAGCTCCACGTCCTCTTGTACCACATCACTCCGTCTCTTCTCTAGCCCGTGCCACTCAATCACTCACCCACTCACCCACTCACTCACCCACTCACCCATCAGCTCCATCTCCTCTCTCGCCAATGCCGCGCCCGTTTAGCTCCCCACTGTCCGACCGGACAAAAGCTTTTTAGGCATGAGGTGGGTCGGCATGCGGGCTACGTGACCCAGCCAACTTGCCAAACGATGTCTACTGTTACCAGATGAAGCCCCACTGATTTGCTGCGTAGCTCGTTGTTCAGTAAGCGTGACCTGGACATCAACAAATGACAGCCACAGAGACCCGTAGACCCACAGGGACCCATACTCAGAGACACATACTCAGAGAACTATACTCAGAGACACATACTCATAGAGAACCATACACAGAGACCCATACTCAGAGACACATACTCAGAGACCCATACTCAGAGACACATACTCATAGAGAACCATACACAGAGTCATATACTCAGAGACCCATACTCATAGACCCATACTCATAGACTCATACTCAGAGACCCATACTCAGAGACGCATACTCATAGACACCCATACTCAGAGACACATACTCATAGAGACCCATACTCATAGACCCATACTCAGAGACACATACTCAGAGACCCCTACTCAGAGAACCATACACAGAGACACATACTCATAGAGACCCATACTCATAGACCCATACTCAGAGACACATACTCATAGACCCATAGTCAGAGACACATACTCATAGACCCATACTCAGAGACCCATACTCAGAGACACATACTCAGATACACATACTCAGAGACCCCTACTCAGAGAACCATACACAGAGACACATACTCATAGAGACCCATACTCATAGACCCATACTCAGAGACACATACTCATAGACCCATAGTCAGAGACACATACTCATAGACCCATACTCAGAGACCCATACTCAGAGACACATACTCATAGACCCATACTCAGAGACCCATACTCAGAGACACATACTCATAGAGAACCATACACAGAGACATACTCATAGAGAACCATACTCAGAGACACATACTCATAGACCCCTACTCAGAGACACATATTCAGAGACACATACTCATAGAGACCCATACTCATAGACCCATACTCAGAGACACATACTCAGAGACCCCTACTCAGAGAACCATACACAGAGACACATACTCATAGAGACCCATACTCATAGACCCATAGTCAGAGACACATACTCATAGACCCATACTCAGAGACCCATACTCAGAGACACATACTCATAGACCCATACTCATAGACACATACTCAGAGACACATACTCATAGAGAACCATACACAGAGACATACTCATAGAGACCCATACTCATAGACCCATACTTAGAGGCACATACTCAGAGACACATACTCATAGACCCATATTCAGAGACACATACTCATAGAGAACCATACACAGAGACATACTCATAGACCCATACTCAGAGACACATACTCAGAGACACATACTCATAGAGACACATACTCATAGACCCATACTCATAGACCCATACTCAGAGACCCATACTCAGAGACCTACATAGACCCACAGAGACTCATACTCATAGAGACCCATACATACCCATAGAGACTCACAGATACCATAGAGACCCACAGAGTGTCTGTGTGTGTGTCTGTGTGTCTGTGTGTGTGTCTGTGTGTCTGTGTGTCTGTGTTTTGTGTATGTGGGGAGCGGTAGTGTAATGGTTAGCGCTGTGCTGCGCTACGAACCTGGCCAACACCGGTGATGATTATCTGAACCGGTCCCGGGCATCCCCTAGGTCGACTCAGCCTCAAATTAGTAGCTGGTGTAGCGGTGTGCAGTGAACATCGCTAGCACTGGGGAGACAAAGGCGTGGTGCTGGCCACCCACCCCCTCTTGTGCCGTGCCGGCCTTCAAAGGTTCTGCTCGCTAACAGCACTTCCCCCTACAGTCTTTCACAGACTACACGGGGGACCTGTGCCTTTGTCTTTGTGTGTCAGTATATCAACGGACGCACGTCAGGATCCCTCGCGTGAACAACCCCGCACCGTCAGCTCCTGCGGCTGAGACGGAGGTCTCGAGGAGTGAAATTCTTCCGCCCCTGCTCTCGTAGCAAGGAGGAAGGAGGAAGTGGAAAGACCACAACACAAGAGCTTTAAACCGCACACACACACAAAACACAATTAGATAATACAACACATACACATATATACATACATACAATAATTGGTTTTGTTTCAGAAGAAGATCGATGACAATTCGAATTTAGAGGGGAAGGAACAATGCCTCTGCCGGCGGTGGTGGTGGTGGTGGCGGTGTTGGCGCTGCAAATTGGTGAGTTTAAGGGTCCGACCTCTTGGAACGATCGGATGAGTCTCTGTGTGGGTCTCTGTGGGTCTGTGTGGGTCTGTGTGGGTCTCTGTGGGTCTGTGTGGGTCTGTGTGGGTTTCTGTGGGTCTCTGTGGGTTTCTGTGGGTTTCTGTGGGTCTCTGTGTGGGTCTCTGTGGGTTTTTGTGGGTCTGTGTGGGTATCTGTGGCTGTCTGTGGGTCTGTGTGGGTCTCTGTAGGTCTGTGTGGGTCTCTGTGGGTCTCTGTGGGTCTCTGTGGGTCTGTGTGGGTCTCTGTGGGTTTTATGTGGGTCTGTGTGGTTGTCTGTGTGTCTCTGTGGGTCTCTGTGGTTATATGAGTCACTATGGGTCTCTGTGGTTCAATTATTCTCTGTTGGTCTCTGTGGGTCTCTGTGGTGATATGAGTCTCTATGGGTCTCTGTGGTTCAATTATTCACTATGGGTCTCTGTGAGACTCTCTTGGTCTGAGTCTCTGTGGGTTCTTTGGGTCTATGAGTCGCTGTGGTTCTCTGTGGTTAAATGATTCTCTGTGGGTCTCTGTGGTTCTATGAGGCTCTAAGGGTTGCTGTGGTTCAATTATTCTCTGTGGGTCTCTGTGGGTCTTTGTGGGTCTATGAGTCTCTGTTGGTTCTGTGGGTCTATGAGTCTCTGTGAGTCTCTATGGTTCAATGTTTCTCTATGGGTCTCTGTGGGTCTATGATCTGTGTCTCTATGGGAATCTATTGGTCTATGAGTCTGTGTCTCTATGGGAATCTGTGTGTGTATAGTGTATAGCGTAGTTTGTGTAGTGTATAGTGTAGTGTATAGCAGAGTAGTGTAGCGGTTTGTGCTACGCTGCGCTATGAACCTGGCGACCCGGGTTCGATTCCCGCTCACGACCAACGCCAGTGACAATTATCTGAACCGGTCCAGGGCCTCCCCTAGGTCGACTCAGCCTCAAATCAGTACCTTGTGCGGTGTGCACTAAACATCGCCACTGCAGAGACAAAGTCGACCGGGCGTGGTGCTGGTCACCCACCCCCTCGTGTGCTGTGCCGGCCTTCATAGGTGCTCACTAACAGCACTTGCCCCTACAGTGTGTTACAGGCTACACGGGGGAGCTTTGCAGTGTATAGTGGAGTGTGTAGTGGAGTGTAGTGTGTAGTGGAGTGTGTAGTGGAGTGTGTAGTGGAGTGTGTAGTGGAGTGTGTAGTGGAGTGTGTAGTGGAGTGTAGTGTAGTGTGTAGTGGACTGTAGTGTGTAGTGGAGTGTAGTGTATAGTGGAGTGGAGTGTATAGTGGAGTGTGTAGTGGAGTGTAGTGTGTAGTGGAGTGTGTAGTGGAGTGTAGTGTGTAGTGGAGTGTGTAGTGGAGTGTGTAGTGGAGTGTAGTATGTAGTGGAGTGTAGTGTAGTGTGTAGTGGAGTGTAGTGTGTAGTGGAGTGTAGTGTGTAGTGGAGTGTAGTGTATAGTGGAGTGTGTAGTGGAGTATATAGTGGAGTCGTGACCACCACGTCGTGACCACCACGTGACCACCACGTGACCACCACGTGGTGGTCACGGCGTGGTCACGTGGTGGTCACACCTTGGTGGTAACGGCGTGGTCACGTGGTGGTCACGTGGTGGTTGCGACGTGGTAGTCACCACGTGGTGGTCACGACGTGGTGGTCACGTGGTGGTCACGATGTGACCACCACGTGCGCCCGTGGAATGCGCTCTTTCAGCATTGGACGCGATTTTGTCACGGGGTTGCTCTGCCTTGCTGCTGCTGTAGCCGGCGCAGGCTTGACCTGTGGGACGAGTCTGTTCACTTGGTTTGTGTTTGTTTAAAGGCGGTGAGATGTTAACTACCTCCCCTGGTGTGCAAGGACGTTGTGGGTTCGATCCCGACCTTGACGATGCCTGCCGCTGTAAATTTGGGGTCTGCGTGTCTCTCTCTGTCCCTTGCAGTGATATGTTAACTACCTCGACTGGTATACAGGAGGTCGTGGGTTCGATTACCCTGAGATATGTTAACTACCTCGCCTGGTCTACAGGAGGTCGTGGGTTTGATTAGCCTGAGAGATGTTAACTACCTCGCCTGATATACAGCAGGCTTCAGGGGTCCGATCCCGACCCTGAAGATGCCTACCGCTGTATGTTTGGAGTCTGTTTCTCATTCTTTCATCATCATCACGGTGGCTAGGAGATGTTTACTACCTCGTCTGGTCTACAGGAGGTCGTGGGTTTGATTAGATTGAGAGATGTTAACTACCTCGCCTGGCATACAGGAGGTCGTGGGTTTGATTAGCCTGAGAGATGTTAACTACCTCGCCTGGTCTAAAGGAGGTCGTGGGTTCGATCCCGACCCTCTCGATGCCTGCCGCTGTATGTTTGGAGCCTGCGTCTGTCTTTCTCTCTCTCCCTGTGGTGAGGCCACTCCGAGTTGAGTCTGGCACGGGGGCACGGGTGGCTGTGGCTTGTTGCTGTAGCCGGAGCAGGCTTCCCCGTGTTAAGATATTCAAATTCCCGATAGGTGTGATACCTTTTGCAAAGAGTGAAGTCTGCATTAACCACGCACACTTTAAGCGCTCATTTGCGCTCAAAGTGTTTTTTCACTTTAAGCGTGTTTTATTTTTCTAATCACCGCTTGTTTCCGTGTAAAGCGAGGAATTATTTTCTGTTTTTATCGGTCGCCCTCTTGGCGTTATTCTCAACCGCAAATGATAGCGGCCTCAGCGAAGCGGCCACCGTGGTGATGCTTTCGCTTTATGCGACAAACGCTCACAACGCCTGCGTTGAGAAATAAAAACCCCGCTAAAAGCGAACGACGCTTTAAGTTTGTCGCTTCAAGAGGTTTATTTCTTCCCCTCCTCCTTAACGACCACCACGAAGGGTGATTTTTACTGTCGATCACATGGCCTTGTTCTCCAAAGTTGACCTCTCGTATGCACTGATGTTGTCATCACCGCTTGCAGGGAACGGAGCCGGGAGCAGTGTGGGACGTCAGCACTTCGGCGCATTTATGCCGAACTACAGGCGGATGGTCGACGCGCTTGTGGTGGACTTCGTCAGCTACAACAGCAGCGCTCAGGTCACCGTCTCGGTCCCCGCGGTGAACTTCTCGCAGACCGTCCTCCTGCCTCCCTTCTCCGTCGGCAATGTATCCATCCCGGTAACGGCAGAGATCAAAGAGAACGGCATCGTCACCAACAAGGTCGTGTCCGTTCGTTCTGACAGTGACATCTCAGTGTGGGGCATGTCCAAACGACTTGCAACAACCGATGGATTCATGATGATCCCTGGGCAGGAACTGGGAATAGAATATTACGTAGTTGCTCCTGTGTCTGGTGTCATAACCCGGAACGAATTTGCAATAATCAGTCCCTACAACAACGTGACGGTGCAGATGATTTTGAGCGGAAATGTTACATTCAACGGTGTGACGTACTCCAACGAACTGAACATCACTCTACAAGAGAACGAGGTCGTGCAGTTCCAAGGATCCTCTCTGACTGGGACCAGGGTACTTTCGAGTCAACCTGTGGCCGTGTTCAGTGGAGATCGGTTCATCGCTGTTCATACTTATTACAATTTTGTGACAGAGCAGCTCTTGCCAGTATCGCAGTGGGGCTCCTCTTACCTGGTCTTCCCTGTGTCCATCAAGTCAACAGACGACAGCGTCATCATCACCTCGCCTACAAGCGCGAGCGTCAGTGTCAATGTCAGTGTCGGTGGGAATTTCACAACCTACACGTTGACCAATTATGGACACATCAGCGTATCTGTATATGCAAACCAGACTTTGTCTATAAACTCATCTGTAAACGTAGGGGTCATGTACATTTGCCAGGGTGGGTCTACAACTCTAGGGTATTCCATGGACCCATTCCAGATGAGCATCATACCGACCAGCAAGTTCTCTAACAAGTACCTATTTGCGACTCAACCAGATTTTATAAACATTTTAATCGTGATCGCCAAGGATGCGGACAAATGTGGGATCGTCATCAACAACGGGACACTGTGCGATAAGATCCAGTGGGTCCGGACAAACGACCTCCAGTTCGTGGCCGGGGAGCTGAAACTGGGACTTGGGAATCAGCAGTTCCTGGTGGAACACGCGACTCAGACGTTCGGGCTCTACCTCTATGGGGTAGCATCCTACGACTCATTTGGCTACGTCCTCAGCTACGGCAACCTAAGAGGTAACTAAACGCTGAGAAATTTGTAACGAGATCAGCCAGACTCGTAGCATCGCAAATCTAACTTCTACTACTACTACGATTATTATTATTATTCCACTAACATAGACGTCGCCGTTACAACCCCCACCACCACCCTCGCGAATGCCCCTCCTCAATTGTGACCTCGCCCACATTTGATTGGCTTCCTGTTACCGTGGTGCGATGAAGTCAAAACGTTCTTGCCATTACAGCCCCTCCCCCCCCCCCCTGGTGGATGGGCTCATTTTGTGCACAACTGAAGTTCTCCCTAATATAAGTTCTTTTCTTCTTTGGTTCTTTCGGTAAAGTCACGTTGAATGAGAATAAATTAATAAATTGATAAAATAAAATAACACAATAATATTCTCACGACGTTTCGGCCACAACACAAGCGGCCTTCATCAGGTGAAGGGACGAGACTGTCTGGTAGGACAGCGCTGGAGTGAAAGAGCCACGTTCAGATCACGACCTTTAAGCTGTGTGAGAGGAAACAAAGCTCCTTGACAAAGGAATTAGCATATAATTTAGCATCTCATTCTACGTGACTTTACCGAAAGAACCAAAGAAGATGAATCATTGCAGTCACGAAAGCTTTAAATCGATAAGTTATTTTGGTTAGAACGCGTAAATATATAAACGTGTCATTAAAACCCACCACTACCCGATACAGCCAACTGGTAGGGGTTGTCACGGAAACGGAACGTGCCAATTCGTCACCAGTACAGCACACCGGTGTGTTGGTGAGCCAAGCCACAACATTTACAATACGCCATCTAACAAAAAAACAACTCTATTATGGATGATTTTGGTCGCGAAAACCCACGTGTTAAAGCAACTGATGTTGTGTGAGGGGCAGAGGAGGCGCCTGCTGTGACTCGTCCACTTGGCTTGAGTATTTAATTGAGAAACTGGAATGCGCTGATGGCGGCTTCTCACATTTTGGCCTCGCACGGAGACCCAAAGATGTCCAGATACCCACAGACTCCCACAGAGACTCACAGACTCACATGGAGACCCCAGAGACGTACAGATACTCACGGACTCCCAACCATACCCCCAAAGACCCAGAGACCGATACAAACATATAGACCGATGATGAAACTAAACTGAAATTGCATTTTTTGCTAAACGCGTTTTCGGTTGCATCGCGTAACTAGAAACGTGCCTTCTAACGCGTCACCACGCGACAGCTGTCGCCTGATGAAGCTGGTTGTAATTATTGGCGAAACGTCGAACTCCGATTGTAAACATTGTGGATTTGCTCTCCGACATAGCGGTTAGTGGTGTACTCATATACTACATGATACACTGCACTATACACTGCACTATACACTGCACTATACACGGCACTATACACGACACTATATACTGCACTATACACTACACTACACTATACACTACACTATACAGTACACTATACACTAGTGCTGTATTAGTAACGAATTGGCACGTTCTGTTTATGTGACACTAAAAACTTTACTGATTGGCTGTGTCGGACGGTGGCGGGTTTAACAACACACTTATGGATTTACTCTCCAACACACCGGTGTGCTGTACCATTTTACTTCACTATACACTACACTATACACTACACTACACACTGCACTATACACCATACTACATACCATACTGGTGCTGTATTAGTAACGAATTAGCCACTTTCTGTTCAGTGACACTAATCTCCGTACTAAAAAAACAACACCCTGGATGATATTTGCTCGCTCACGAAAGCGTTACCGACGCGTCAAACCTAACGCGGTTTATTCCCCCCCCCACCCCCCACCCCCGTCCGCTCCTGCCTCCCCTTCTTCCTCCTAACCCGCATCGAGCACGAGGCATCTCAACTCCCCACCCCACCCCCCGCGCTATCTTCAATGGATCGGTCTCAACACTCCCGCACCTCTCCCCTCCCCCCAAGCATCGTCCGTCTCACCACCCCACTTCCACACCGCCCGCTCAACGCGCACCGTCTCACCACCCCGCCCCCCGCCCCCCCCCGCCGCCCTCGCTTCCTCGTTCCCCGCACGCTCGAACCTTCCGAGGGGTCTCACACTTTTCGCGCCTCAACTTCCGCGGCCCCGGGTGGGGTGGAGAGGATTTCTGTACGCGAGCCCGGCCCCCCCCCTTTAGCGGGGGCCGGGCTCGCGACGCTAACGCCCGACCGCGTGGCGCCGGTGAAGTTCCGCCGCCGCTTGCCGCTCTCTGTCCGCGTCGGACGCGATTTGGTCGCTGGTGAAACTGGCACCGGGGTGGCTCTGCCTTGCTGCTGCTGCTGCTGCTGTAGCCGGTGCAGGCTTGACCCGTGGATAGGGCGTTTGTGTAACACCAAGTCCTCTACCGATGGGACCTTTTCGTTTGTGCCGGTATCAAAGCGACACAAAGGTAAGTTTGGGTTTTCATAATTTTTTTCTGGCATTAGCAAAACACGAGGTGCGCTAAGATTTTTTTAACGCCAAATAGGTGATACATTTTGCAAGGAGTGAAGTCTGCATTAACTACGCACGTACTCTTTGGTTCTATTCGGTAAAGTCACCACGTAGGTAAAAATAAAATAACAAAAAATCACGACGTTTCGGCCACAATACAAGTGGCTTTCATCAGGTGAAGGGACTGGACTGTCCAGAGGACAGCGTTGGAGTGAAGACAGCCATGCCCAGGTCGCGTCCTTTAAGCTGTGTGGGAGGAAACAAAAAACGCCTTGACAAAGGAATTTGCATAACAATGATGTACTGGACCGGCACGGTGGGGGGGGGGGAGGTTACATAATGTTGGTGTGAAAGGAAAATAAGCTGCTGTGAAATTTTGGAATACCACCACTTGAGAAATAAAAACCCCGCTAAAAGCGAATGACGCTGAAAGTTTGTCGCTTCAAGAGGTTGTTTTTTTCCCCTCCTGCTTAACGACCACCATGAAGGTGATTTTTTGTAATGTCGATCTCGTTGCCTTGTTCTCAAAAGTTGAACTCTCTCGCTTGCCCTGATGTTGTCGTCACCGCTCGCAGGGAACGGAGCCGGGAGCAGTGTGGGACGTCAGTTCTTCGGCGCATTTATGCAGAACTACGTGGAGGTAGTCGACGCGCTTGTGGTGGACTTCGCCAGCTACGACAGCAGCACTCAGGTCACCATCTCGGTCCCTGCGGTGAACTTCTCGCAGGCCGTCCTCCTGCCTCCCTTCTCCGTCGGCAATGTATCCATCCCGGTAACGGCAGAGATCGCAGAGAACGGCATCGTCACCAACAAGGTCGTGTCCGTTCGTTCCGACAGTGACATCTCAGTGTGGGGCATGTCCAAACGATCTGCAACAACCGATGGGTTCATGATGATCCCTGAGCAAGAGCTGGGAACAGAATATTACGTAGTCGCTCCTGTGTCTGGTTCGTCAACGAACGAATTCGCGATAGTCAGTCCCTACAACAACGTGATGGTGCAGATTATCTTGAGCGGAAATGTTATTTTCAACGGTGTGACGTACTCCAACAATCTGAACATCACTCTACAAGAGGACCAAGTCGTGCAGTTCCAAGGATCCGCTCTAACTGGGACCAGGGTACTTTCGAGTCAACCTGTGGCCGTGTTCAGTGGAGATCGGTGCATCGCAGTCCACACAGCCTGCAATTTTGTGACAGAGCAGCTCTTGCCAGTACGGCAGTGGGGCTCCTCTTACCTGGTCTTCCCTGTGTCCATCAAGTCAACAAATGACAGCGTCATCATCACCTCGCCTTCAAGCGCGAGCATCAGAGTCAATGTCAGTGTCGATGGGAATTTCACAACCTACACGTTGACCAATTATGGTCGCATCAGCGTTCCTATATATGCAAACCAGACTTTGTCTATAAACTCATCTGTGAACGTAGGGGTCATGTACATTTGCCAGGGTGGGTCTACAACTCTAGGGTATTCCATGGATCCGTTCCAGATGAACATCATACCGACCAGCAAGTTCTCTAACATGTACCTGTTTGCGACTCAACCAGATTTTATAAACATTTTAATCGTGATCGTCAAGGATGCGGACAAATGTGGGATCGTCATCAACAACAAGACACTGTGCGATAAGATCCAGTGGGTCCGGACAAGCGACCTCCAGTTCGTGGCCGGGGAGCTGAACCTGGGACTTGGGAATCAGCAGTTCCGTGTGGAACACGCGACTCAGACGTTTGGGCTCTACCTCTACGGGGTGGCATCCTATGACTCATTTGGCTACGTCCTTGGCTACGGCAACCTAAGAGGTAACTAAATGCTGAGCATTTGAAACACGATCAGCCAGACTTGTAGCAAATCTAACTTCTACGATTATTATTCCACTAACAAACACGACGCCGTTACAACCCCCACCACCACCCTCGCGAACGCCGCTCCCCAATTGTGACCTCGCCCACATTTGATTGGCTTCCTGTTACCGTGGTGTGAAGACGTCACGATGCCTGTGCCATTACAGCTCCTCCCCCCCTGGTGGATGGGCTGAGTCTGTGCACAACTCAAGTTGTGGGCTGGGCAGAGGCGGCGTCCGCTGTGACTCATCCACTTGGATTGAGTATTTAATTGACAGCGGCTTCTCCCGTTATGGCCTCGCATGGAGACCCAGAGATGTACAGATACCCATGGACGTCCACAGTGACCCATAGACTCCCACAGATACCCACAGACTCCTACAGAGACCCATAGACTTACAAAGAGACCAAGAGATGTACAGATACCCATGGACGTGAACAGTGACCCTCAGACTCCCACAGATACCCACAGACTCCTACGGAGATCCATAGACTTACAAAGAGACCAAGAGATGTACAGATACCCATGGACGTCCACAGTGACCCACAGACTCCCACAGATACCCACAGACTCCTACAGAGACCAATAGACTTACAAAGAGACCAAGAGATGTACAGATACCCATGGACTTCCACTGAGACGCACAAACTCGTACAGATACCCACATACTAATACAGGGACCCATGGACCTACAAAGAGACCCAGAGATATACAGATACCCATGGACTTCCACAGAGATGCACAGACTCCCACAGATACCCACAGACTCCTACAGAGACCCATAGACTTACAAAGAGACCAAGAGATGTACAGATACCCATGGACGTCCACAGTGACCCACAGACTCCCACAGATACCCACAGACTCTCACAGAGACCCATGGACCTACCAAGAGACCCAGAGATATACAGATACCAATGGACTTCCACTGAGACCCACAGACTCGTACAGATACCCACAGACTAATACAGGGACCCATGGACCTACCAAGAGACCCAGAGATATACAGATACCCATGGACTTCCACAGAGACCCACAGACTCCCACAGATACCCAACAGACTCCTACAGAGACCCATAGACTTCCAAAGAGACCAAGAGATGTACAGACACCCATGGACGTCCACTGAGATGCACAGACTCGTACAGATACCCACAGACTAATACAGAGGCCCATGGACCTACAAAGAGCCCCAGAGATATACAGATACCCATGGACTTCCACTTAGACCCACACACTCGTACAGATACCCACAGACTAATACAGGGACCCATGGACCTACCAAGAGACCCAGAGATATACAGATACCCATGGACGTCCACAGTGACCCACAGACTTCCACAGAGACCCACAGACTTCTCTTCTTCCTCCACGCGTTTGTCCCACTCCACGTGGGGGCGTTCCTCCGCTCTCCTTGCCGACCTCCACGCCGCCCTGTTCCTGCGCTATCTCTTTCCGCTCCTTGGTTCACCACCACCACCACCACATCACACCCACCACATCACACCCACCACATCACACCCACCACATCACACCACCACATCACACCACCACATCACACCACCACATCACACCACCACATCACACCACTACATCACACCCACCACATCGCACCCACCACATCACACCACTACATCACACCCACCACATCACACCCACCACATCACATCCACCACATCACACCACTACATCCCACCACATCACACCACCACTACATCACACCACCACTACATCACACCACCACTACATCACACCACCACATCACACCACCACATTGCACTCACCACATCACACCACCACATCACACCACTACATCACACCACCACATCACACCCACCACATCACACCACCACATCACACCCACCACATCACAACCACCACATCACACCACCACATCACACCCACCACATCACACCCACCACAACACACCCACCACATCGCACCCACCACCGCATCGCACTCACATCACACCACTACATCACACCACCGCATCGCACTCACCACATCGCACTCACCACATCACACCATACCACATCACACCACTACATCACACCACCACATCACACCACCACCACATCGCACTCACCACATCACACCACCACATCACAGCCACCACATCACACCCACCACATCACACCACCACATCACACCACCACCACATCGCACTCACCACATCACACCACTACATCACACCATACCACATCACACCACTACATCACACCACCACATCACACCCACCACATCACACCACCACATCACACCACCACATCGCACTCACCACATCGCACTCACCACATCACACCATACCACATCACACCACCACCACATCACACTGTAGACGCAGCTTTCCTGAACCAAAAAAATAAGCTACGCCTTAACTTGTGGGAGCAAAAAAGCCTGACGCGTGTTTGAGGTGTCTTAAGTCAAACTGTTTCCTTATTGCTTAGTTGCACAAAAACGAGCGTTTTCTAAAGTTAAATCATCGCCTGTTCACGTACTGTGCAACCTCGTCGCACGGACAAAAGACTGCATCCACTCGCTCACCACGGCCCTTCTTGTAGCTCCCCGTTTATACTGTACAAACCGGAAGTGACGTCATGGGTTCAACCAACGGAGCGTCTAACCGCAGGGGGGTTTCTACACAGATGGGATATTCCAAATGAAATATAACCAGTCCGTCAACAAATGTGTGACGGATGTACATCAAATGTATACACAGAAATAATACGCTCACTTTCTGTCTTTTGACTCTTACACGCACCACCAAATCGCATCCACCACATCACACCACTACATCACACCCACCACATCACACCACTACATCACACCACCACGTCACACCACTACATCACACCACTACATCACACCACCACATCACACCACATCACACCACCACATCACACCATCACACCACCACATCACACCCACCACATCACACCACTACATCACACCACTACATCACACCACCACATCACACCCACTACATCACACCACTACATCACACCACTACATCACACCACTACATCACACCCACCACATCGCACCCACCACATCACACCCACCACATCACACCACTACATCACACCCACCACATCACACCACTACATCGCCCCCCCCCCCCTCCCGCACCTCTTCTTCTGCCTTTCTTCCTCGCGATCCCCTTTCCATCAACTCGCATCGCTCGCCAGCCTCCAACCCACGCCATGTCCCTGTCGCCTCTCCCGCACGACCGAACCACACACAGAGCCCGTCGCTCTCTCCCTCTGTAGTGTAGTTTATAGTGTAGTGTAAAGTGTAGGGTGGTGTATAGTAGTGTAGTGTAAAGTGTAGGGTGGTGTATAGTAGTGTGGTGTATAGTAGAGTGGTGTAGTGTATAGTAGTGGGATGTATAGTGTAGTGTAAAGTGTAGGGTGGTGTATAGTAGTGTAGTGCATAGTGTAGTGTATAGTGTAGTGTATAGTGTAGTGTATAGTAGTGTGATGTATAGTGTAGTGTATAGTAGTGTAGTGTATAGTGTAGTGTATAGTAGTGTGGTGTATAGTAGTGTAGTGTATAGTGTAGTGTATAGTGTAGTGTATAGTAGTGTAGTGTATAGTAGTGTAGTGTATAGTGTAGTGTATAGTGTAGTGTATAGTGTAGTGTATAGTAGTGTAGTGTATAGTGTAGTGTATAGTGTATAGTGTAGTGTATAGTAGTGTGGTGTATAGTGTAGTGTATAGTGTAGTGTATAGTAGTGTAGTGTATAGTAGTGTAGTGTATAGTAGTGTAGTGTATAGTAGTGTATAGTGTAGTGTATAGTGTAGTGTATAGTAGTGTAGTGTATAGTAGTCCATTGTATAGTGTAGTGTATAGTAGTGTAGTGTATAGTAGTGTAGTGTATAGTGTAGTGTATAGTGTAGTGTATAGTAGTGTAGTGTATAGTGTAGTGTATAGTAGTCTAGCAAACAGTAGTGTAGTGTATAGTAGTGTAGCATATAGTAGTGTGGTGTATAGTAGTGTAGTGTATAGTAGTGTAGTGTATTGTAGTGTAGTGTATAGTGTAGTGTATAGTAGTGTCATGTATAGTGTAGTGTATAGTAGTGTAGTGTATAGTAGTGTAGCGTATAGTAGTGTGGTGTATAGTAGTGTAGTGTATAGTGTAGTGTATAGTAGTGTAGTGTATAGTAGTGTAGTGTATAGTGTAGTGTATAGTAGTGTAGCGTATAGTAGTGTGGTGTATAGTAGTGTAGTGTATAGTGTAGTGTATAGTAGTGTAGTGTATAGTAGTGTGGTGTATAGAAGTGTAGTGTATAGTGTAGTGTATAGTAGTGTAGTGTATAGTAGTGTGTTGTATAGTAGTGTAGTATATAGTGTAGTGTATAGTAGTGTAGTGTATAGTAGTGTATAGTAGTGTAGTGTATAGTAGTGTGGTGTATAGTAGTCTAGCAAATAGTAGTGTAGTGTATAGTAGTGTAGCAAATAGTAGTGTAGTATATAGTAGTGTCGTGTATAGTGTAGTGTATAGTGTAGTGTATAGTGTAGTGGAAAGTAGTGAAGTGTATAGTGTAGTGTATAGTAGTGTATTGTATAGTAGTGATGTGTATAGTGTAGTGTATAGTGTTGTGTATAGTGTAGTGTATAGCAGTGATGTGTATAGTGTAGTGTATAATAGTGTGGTGTATAGTAGTCTAGCAAATAGTAGTGTAGTGCACAGTAGTCTAGCAAATAGTAGTATAGTGTATAGTAGTGTCGTGTATAGTGTAGTGTATAGTGTAGTGTATAGTGTAGTGTATAGTGTAGTGGAAAGTAGTGAAGTGTATAGTGTAGTATATAGCAGTGATGTGTATAGTGTAGTGTATAGTAGTGTCGTGTATAGTGTAGTGTATAGTGTAGTGTATAGCAGTGATGTGTATAGTGTAGTGTATAGTCGTCTAGTGTATTGTCGTGTAGTGTATAGTGCAGCGTATATTAGTGACATGTATATTGTAGCGCGGTGTATAGTAGTGTATACTATAGTAGTAATGTGTATAGTGTAGTGTATAGTAGTGTATAGTAGTGTAGTGTATAGTGTATAGTGTAGTGTACAGTGTAGTGTATAGTGTAGCGTATATTACTGACGTGTACATTGTAGCGCGGTGTATAGCAGTGTATAGTGTGTAGCATCAACACATCTCTTGGTGACTCCGTGGTCCTCCGCCCCGCTTCCCCCCCTTTGACGATTCGTCCGGTGAAAGTAACTAAAGAGTGGCCCGCGATGCCCTAGGCGGAGTCTGTCGCATCAACCCATCCGGCGCGAGCGGCACCGTCCGATTCGCCGATTTGCTCGCGAGGCCCAACGTCGGTGACTGCCTCTGGACCATAACCGGCGGGCCGGGTACGGCCGTGATCCTTCGCTTCCAGACGTTCAGGTAAGCGGCGGTTGTGGGGGGAAGGGAGGGAAGGGAAGGGAGGGGATGTATAGGTGCACTCACTCTGGCCCACAGGTTCGCAACCACGCGTCACGAAACGCTTCGGGCTGTTAAGAGTCCGCTCCGCCGATGAGCACGGATGTCCCTCGTACACGACGGCGGTGGAGGTTCAACACAACGTACACGTGTGCTCATGCTAGAGGGGGCGTAAGTGCGAACGTCGGGTTCACACCTAGTAGGCTTTCCTCGCCAATGTCATCCATATTCTTGGTTCTTTCGGTAAAGTCACCACCACGTTAGATAGGGAAACAATAAAATATTGAAACTATAAAACAATAAAATTGTTATTCTTGGTTCTTTCGGTAAAGTCACCACCACGTTAGATAGGGAAACAATAAAATAATAAAAATATTAAACAATACAATTATTATTCTTGGTTCTTTCGGTAAAGTCACCACATATAGAAGGGAAACGATAAAATAATAAAAATATGAAACAATAAAATTATTATACTTGGTTCTTTCGGTAAAGTCACCACGTAGAAGGGAAACAATAAAATAATAAAAATATAAAACAATAAAATTATTATTCTTGGTTCTTTCGGTAAAGTCACCACGTAGAAGGGAAACAATAAAATAATAAAAATATGAAACAATCAAATTATTGTTCTTGGTTCTTTCGGTAAAGTCACCACGTTAGATAGGGAAACAATAAAATAATAAAAATATAAAACAATAAAATTGTTATACTTGGTTCTTTCGGTAAAGTCACCACGTTAGATAGGGAAACAATAAAATAATAAAAATATAAAACAATAAAATTATTATTCTTGGTTCTTTCGGTAAAGTCACCACATATAGAAGGGAAACGATAAAATAATAAAAATATGAAACAATAAAATTATTGTTCTTGGTTCTTTCGGTAAAGTCACCACGTTAGATAGGGAAACAATAAAATAATAAAAATATAAAACAATAAAATTATTATTCTTGGTTCTTTCGGTAAAGTCACCACGTAGAAGGGAAACAATAAAATAATAAAAATATGAAACAATAAAATTATTATTCTTGGTTCTTTCGGTAAAGTCACCACGTTAGATAGGGAAACAATAAAATAATAAAAATATAAAACAATAAAATTATTCTTGGTTATTTCGGTAAAGTCACCACGTTAGATAGGAAAACAATAAAATAATAAAAATATAAAACAATAAAATTATTAATCTTAGTTCTTTCGGTAAAGTCACCACCACGTAGAAGGGAAACAATAAAATAATAAAAATATGAAACAATAAAATTATTATACCTGGTTCTTTCGGTAAAGTCACCACGTAGAAGGGAAACAATAAAATATTAAAAATATAAAACAATAAAATTATTATTCTTGGTTCTTTCGGTAAAGTCACCACGTATAGAAGGGAAACAATAAAATAATAAAAATATTAAACAATAAAATTATTATTCTTGGTTCTTTCGGTAAAGTCACCACGTAGAAGGGAAACAATAAAATAATAAAAATATAAAACAATAAAATTATTATTCTTGGTTCTTTCGGTAAAGTCACCACGTATAGAAGGGAAGCAATAAAATAATAAAAATATTAAACAATAAAATTATTATTCTTGGTTCTTTTGGTAAAGTCACCACGTAGAAGGGAAACAATAAAATAATAAAAATATGAAACAATAAAATTATTATTCTTGGTTCTTTCAGTAAAGTCACCACGTTAGATAGGGAAACAATAAAATAATAAAAATATTAAACAATACAATTATTATTCTTGGTTCTTTCGGTAAAGTCACCACGTATAGAAAGGAAACAATAAAATAATAAAAATATAAAACAATAAAATTATTATTCTTGGTTCTTTCGGTAAAGTCACCACATATAGAAGGGAAACAATAAAATAATACAAATATTAAACAATAAAATTATTATTCTTGGTTCTTTCGGTAAAGTGGAGGTAAACTAATAAAAATATTAAACAATAAAATTATTATTATTGGTTCTTTCGGTAAAGTCACCACATATAGAAGGGAAACAATAAAATAATAAAAATATGAAACAATAAAATTATTATTCTTGGTTCTTTGGGTAAAGTCACCACGTTAGATAGGAAAACAATAAAATAATAAAAATATAAAACAATAAAATTATTATACTTGTTTCTTTCGGTAAAGTCACCACGTTAGATAGGGAAACAATAAAATAAAAAATATATAAAACAATACAATTATTATTCTTGGTTCTTTCGGTAAAGTCACCACGTTAGATAGGAAAACAATAAAATAATAAAAATATAAAACAATAAAATTATTATTCTTAGTTCTTTCGGTAAAGTCACCACGTATAGAAGGGAAACAATAAAATAATACAAATATGAAACAATAAAATTATTATACTTGGTTCTTTCGGTAAAGTCACCACGTAGAAGGGAAACAATAAAATATTAAAAATATAAAACAATAAAATTATTATTCTTGGTTCTTTCGGTAAAGTCACCACGTATAGAAGGGAAACAATAAAATAATAAAAATATGAAACAATAAAATGATTATA